AAGACTCCCACATAGGAGCTCTGACAAAGGGTCCCCGGACTTGTGGGCTACTCACCTGTCTCCTCTTCCTCTGAGAAGCCGTATGTGGCTGTAAGGGAGGGCAGGGTGGTAAATGAAGGTCCTCCAGTCCCTCCCCTACTCTCTCCCCTTGTCCCCAGGTTGCAGACAGCCTAAAGAACCTTAAGTGAGGCCCCAAGACTCCACTACAGAAGTCTGGGAGTCCCTTGACATCGAGATTTCTGCTCCATTTTCCCAAAGAGTCAACAGAGACCCAGGGAGGCAAGCGAGGCAGTAGCCGCGGGTCTGAACTGCAGCCCACACACATTTCCCAGTCTCCTGTGCGTCCGTCCCAGTAGCCCCCACTTCAAGCCCACCTCCTCAAATCCCTGTCAGCACCCCTTCCCACGGTGGCCCTAGGAGACTTACCCAGCACAGCCAAGGTGAGCAGTGGAAGGAAGCCCATACCGCTGCCTTGTGGGACCCACTCTGCCGCCGCTGCTCACAGGCGCTTCCCAGCGCTTGGTTGCCTCCCTGCTGACTGGGTGTCTGCACATGAGAGATAACCAGAGGTGGAGGCACCCTAGGGCCTTAACTCCAGGACAGAGAGGCCCAGATAGACCCAGGGCAGCATACTCTGCCCCCACACTTCCCTTCACCCCCTCTTCCAAGCCCCCCCCCACTCCCTCACCCAGGAAGTGGAAGAAGTTTAGGGAAGGGTACATAGCAAAGGACAATTGAGGTTACAGTTGACTTAAGGCTGCTAGTAGGTGGCCTTGTGATGGGAGATTGTCCTGAAGTCACCACCAGTAACCTGGTATTGTCAAATCCATTCTGACTCGAGGTCATACCACATGTGTTGGAGTAGAGTCAAGTAGAGCGACTCAATAAGGTTTTCAGTGGATGATTTTTCAGAAGTAGATTTCCCGGCCTTTCTTCCGAGGTACCTCTGGATGGATTAGAACCTCAGACCTTTAAGTTAGGAGCTGAGTGTGTTAACTAGTTTTACCATCCAAGGGTCCTTAAAGAGTTTCCAGGGGAGATGGATAAGGGGATCACATTAGCAAAGAGGAGGAAGGAGCAACAACTGCCCTGTTCAAGTAAGTTCCTTTCTGAGTGGCTGAAGCTCAGGGGAAGCCTTGAAGACCAGACCATTCCCAGGACTGGGCCCCATGCCACCCTCAACCAGAAACAGACCAAGTCACGTCATAGCTCCACTCATTGCTGTTGCAGATCTAATGGGGTCTGGGAAGAAGTGAGGCCCCCAGGGCCCCCAAACCTCAGAGAGTACAAGAGTCATGTGGCAGGGGGCAGGGGGCCAGATCAAGGTGGGGCTGTCAGAATTGGGCACAGAAAACCTGGAACAGAGAGCTGAGGCAATCTGTGAGTCTGCGACCTGCCAACTCCACAGTGGGCCCTGGCATCTACCAGCCCCAGACTAGGTGTCTGAACAACCTGGCTCCACCGAAGCCCAGGCCAGTGCACTAGCCAACCCTCGCTGACCAGTTCAGGGATCTCTCATTTGGGGCCTTCTGGAGGGAAGATGTCTCTGCTTCCAGTGGGAGCTGCTGTCTCTCGGCAAAACCTGCCACCTGCCAAGCCCACTAGTGCATTGGATGGCTTAATGTGGCTCTTCTAGCTAGAGCCTTTGTTATCTCCCACCACTTGACTGGGTGTGGCTATGCAAATGTAATGCTTGTGACCCACCAAAGGGATTGGACAGTTTGCTAATAGTGTAAACAAGATGAGATGCAGGCCCCCTGGCAGCTTGCTGTTGTTAAGCTAAGCGCCAGTGGGTTCAGCCTCATAGGGAGCCTGTAAAGGGTTTCCTAGGAGCGACCCGTGAGTTTGACACGTCGACCTTGCTTTTCAAACCAACCTTGCAGTCCAGGGCATTATCTTGCAGCGCCATACCATACCAGGACCATTAAATCGGTGCCATTAAGTCAGTTCTGACTCACAGTGACCTGATGCATAACAGAACGAAACACTGTCTGGTGCTGCGCTATCCTCACAATTGTTACATCTGAACCCTTGGTTGCTGGCACTGTGTCAATCCATCTCATTTTCGCTGACCCCCTGCTGTACCAAGCATGATATTCTTCTCCAGGGAGTGATTCCTCCTAATAACATGTCCTAAGTATGAGACACAGTCTCACCATCTTGGATTCTAAGGAGCACTCTAACTGGACTTCTTTAAAAACACATCTGTTTGTTCTTCTGGCAGTCCATGCTATGATAGTTCAAATGCAGCAATTCTTTCTCCAGTCTTCCTAGTCACTGTCCAACTTTCATATTCATATGTTGCTGTTAAGTCTCCTCCAGTTGGTTCTGACTCAACAACCCTGTACAGGTTTTCTGAGGCTGTAAATCTTTGAGAGCAGAACGTCTCATCTTCCTCCCATGGAGCTGCTAGTGGATTAGACCTGCTGACCTTGAGGTTAGCAGCCCAATGTGAGGTGACTGAAAATACCATGGCTTGGGCCAGGTGCACCTTAGTTCTCAAAGTGACACTATGCTATCAGGGCTCCTTTATCTACAGCTCAGAATATTTTGCTGCGCGTGCATATTGAATAAGTATGGTGAAAGGATACACCCCTGACGCATACCTGTCCTGATTTTACACCACACAGGATTCCCTTATTCTGTTTGAACAACTGCTTCTCCGTCTATATACAAGTTCCTCGTGAGCACAGTGAAATGTTCTGGAATCCCATTCTTTGTAATGTTATCCATAGTTTGTTATAATCCACACAGTTAAATACCTTTGCATAGTCAATAGAGCACAAGTGAACATCTTTCTGGTATTTATTTTCTGCTTTCAACCAAGATCTCTCTGATGCCAGTAACGGTATTCCTGGTTAGACATGCTTGTTTTGAATCGGGCTTGAATTTCTGGAGTTTCACTATTAATGCACTGTGGCAATCATTTTGTAATTATCTTTAACAAAATTTCACTTGCATGCTGTATTAGTGATATTGTTAGATGGTTTCCACGTCTGAATTTGGGGCTTGCAAGGAAGGCTTTTAGTCTCTGCCTGCTCTTAGGGAAGGTCCTTGTCTCTTTTGAGCTTGGATGTCTGGCTTCCTTGGTGGTCTTACTCTGGTGTGGCATCTCCATCCCCCATCTAGGCTTCTCTCTCGCTCAGTTGCTAGCTTAATTTGCTCTTTCCTATCTCAGAAGAGATTGATTTAAGTAAGATGTACAAGTCGGGTTGCTAATTTCTAGGTCAGCGGTTCTAATCTACCAGCCGCTCTGAAAGAGAAAGATGAGGTTTTCTGCTCTTGTAAAGATTTACAGCTTTGCAAACCCTGTGCAGGGTCGCTATGAGTCAGAAACAACTTCACAGCACAGAACCACCCTACACCCATGTTGCCATATTAACATAACAAAGAAATCCTAGTCCTAAATGGGAACAACAGGGTTTTCTCTTAGGTAGTTTTATTGGGCTACTCATTGAGTTGTAACCACAAAGTCAGCAGTTTGAATCCACCAGCTGCTCTGCAGAAGAAAGATGCGGCTGTCTGCTCTTTTAACCACTTACAGCCTCTGAAACCCTATAAAGGGTTGATACCGTTGTAATTGACTTGGGGGCGTATAGCAGCAGCAGCAGTTCTAGCAAATTCCCTCCCACGTGGTCTGCTCTCACTTCTGCCGAAGGGGGTGGGGGCATGGGTAGAACTGAAATTTGAAGGGTATGGTGGGACAGCAAAGTGTTGCAGTGGTTGGGCAGGGGTGGGTGGGGTGGGGTGGGGGTGGCTGTTTCCAGGTAATGCCTATACTGAGGGTCCAAGGGCCTCTCTTTGATCCCAAACTTCTAATTAACAACATGAGCTGCCCTTCATCTGCCAGGCCTGTGGCCCTCTGCCCACGGAGAACAGAGCGATATCTGTTCCCTCATTACCTCATTGTCAGTCCCCAGAACGAACACAGCCTGCGTTTGTTATTGTGTGACTAGAGTTGGTTCTGACTCATAGTGACACTTTGTAGGGCTTCCGAGAGTAGCTGGTGGGTTTGAACTGCCAACCTCGTGGTTTGCAGTCCAGAGCCAGCTGTTTAGCTTAATGCATGCGTTTACAGCTCACTAGTGCATAAGAGGTAGGGACAGTGATAGGTAGGGCTGATGAAGAAGCTTTCAGTCCCAGGTGACAGGTAGGGCTGCCCCATGTCCAGAGCAGGACCCCTCAGGAGCTGGTCCCTGGAGGGGCTCCAGGCTTCCCAGGGGGTGACCTGGTGCCTCCTGACCTCCCAGCTGGGATCTCTCTAACCAGGCTGCCTGGGAGAGTCACTGGGAACCTTCAGACGTCAGGGCTCCTCAGGGCTCCGGGGCTGCACCTGGTTAAATTAGCATCTCTGGGTGGGACTTCAGGTCTCCACAGCTTTGGAGTGGGAGGTTTAAATGCTCCTGCAAGGTCCGGGATGAGGCGGCCACTGCTCCTGGCACCGCCCACACTCGGCTCTCATACAATGCAAGTCTGTGCATGCATCCTGCAGCCTCCAAGAGTGGACAGGACACTGTACCCCCAAGGTCCCTTGAGGTCAGTTTGTGTGTGTGTGTGTTTGTAGGTCAGGCAAGCACTGCAGAAGGCATGACCTCTGCTCTAGAGGAGCCCTCAGGTGACAAGGTGAGGACAAATCCTGACAGGGAGAGCTGGGGGAGGCACAGGGCGACTCTGAGGGGAGTATCTCGGTTCAAACGCAGCGCTAGCCTCGCTGATTCTGCAAACCTAGCCCCATTATTAACCTCTGATGGGCCAACTTCACCACCTGTCTGTGGTGGCTTGTGTGTTGTTGTGATGCTGGAAGGTATGCCTCTGATTGTCCAATACCAGCATAGACAGGTTTCAGCAGCACTTCTAGACTAAGACTAGGAAGAAAGGCCTGGTGATGAGCTTCTGGAAATTAGCCATGATTGTTTGATGTTGTGTTGAAAAAATGAGCCCCCTCTGTTTGAAGGCACTGGAAATACACAGTGGCTACAACCGTGGCCCTGGGTGCATTGAGGACCGTGAAAATGATGCAGGGCTGGGTAAACCTTCCATGTGTTGTTGACACACGGGGTCATCACAAGGAGTCTAAGCCAATCCCATGGCAGCTAAAAACAGGGCAAATAGCAGAAGACTGGGAGAATTGAAAGGTAATATGTTAGCGGGTCTCAACACAAGTACACAGACCCTCCACACAAGGGGTTGTTGTCAGCTGCCTTGGAGTTCATTTGATTCATGGTGACCCTGTGTGTGCAGATTAAAACTGCTCCACAGGGTTGTCAATGGGTCCTGGGGTGGCACTGCGCTGCTAACTGCAAGGTCAGCGGTTCAAACCCACCAGCCTCGTCTTGAAAACCCTATACAGGGTTGCTGTGAGTTGGAACTGACTTGACCACACATAACAATGACAGTATAGGGTTTTCAAAGCTGTGGCCTTCCCAAAGGCAGATCACCAGGGAACCTATGAGTGGGTTCCAACTACCAACCTTTAGGCTTGTAACCGTGTGTGCCACTCCTTCCACAGGTGTGTGTGTGTGGGGTGTCTCCAAACTTATGATTGCCAGTAACCAACTTCTGAGCATATTTATAAAATGTATTCAAAAATAACAATATTAATACATTATGTACATTATAAAACATTCACAGAAAATAAAAGTAATGAGATAAAAAATTGAAGTTCCCATTATTTTCTTCCAACTTCTCTGGGTATGTGCACCCCGCTGACCAGGAGGGTCTCGGGGGTTGGGGGCGTTGGTCACCAGCAGCCAGCAGTGTGGGCCTGGCGCTGGGAGGCCCTGGAGGAGGCAGGGTGGCAGCTATGGCTCAGAGGCACTGGGGAAGCGGAATCTGTAGGCGGGGTTTTGGTCTTGGGCGCCACGCGGTCCGGGGTAGGGGGAATGCGGCCCGGGCGGATGCCCGAGGGAGGCTCCCAGCCGAGGGGAAGTGGAACCCGGGGATCCCGGGCATGGGAATCCGGGACAGAAGGACCGCGGGCGCGAAGCTCGGGAGTAAAGGGACTCGGGAGAGTTGCTCGGGTCCGGCCCGGGCAGCAGTCGCGACAAATCCTCCACCAGGTGCCACTTCTCCTTGACTTGCTGTGACGGGCGCGTGCTCGTGTTAGGAGAGGTCCCGCCCCAGACTGAGGCCCCGCCCCACCAGTTCCCACCTCTAATCCGAGGCCCCGCCCTGCCAGCTGTCCAGCCTTCTGACACTCACCCACATCAGCTGTTTCTGGAGGCCCTGGATGGCCCTGGAGTTGGCCTGGGACTGGGAGACGCATACCGTCAGGACAAGGCTTGGGGCAGATGGGAAGCAAAGGTCACACACTGGACCACAGGCGGCTTCCCTGACCTCTCCCCACTGGGTCTTAGCAAGGACCCTCATTCTTTCCTCCCACCATCAGGATCATCCATCAACACTCACGGAAGCAGCAGTCAAGAAATCAAACGAAGTATTGCATTAGGCAAATCTGCTGCACAAGACCTTTTTAAAGTGTTGAGGAGCAAAGATTTAAGTTTAAGGACTAAGGTGCTCCTGACCCAAACCATTGTATTTTCAATAACCTCATATGCATGAGAAAGACAATGAATAAGAAAGACCGTAGAAGAACTGATGTTTTTGAGTTATGGTGTTGGAGGAGAATATTAAAAGTGCCATGGGCTGCCAAAAGAACATACAGATCTGTGTTGGAAGAAGTGCAACCAGAGTGCTCTTTGGAAGCCAGGATGGTCAAACTTCATCTCTCACACTTAGACATATTGTCAGGCAGGACCAGTTGCTGGAGAAAGATCTCATGTTTGGTGAGGTGGAGAGTCAGAGAAAAAGAGGAAGACCCACAGTGAGATGGATTGGCACAGTGGCAGCAGCAATGGGCTCAAGTGTGGCAACGATTGTGAGGTTGGCCTAGGACCCGGCAGTGTTTCATTCTGTTGTGCACACGGTCGCTATGAGTCGGTACCGACTGGATAGCACGTAACAACACCACCAGCAGGACGGGCTCCACAGCTTCGGCTGGTGAGCTGGTTCCACCAGGGATCATGGAGCTCTCCCTTCATCACGAAGGTGGACCAAGGGCACTGCCCGGACACAGAGGAACTGGGACACTTGCCTCCTTTGGCTTCCCTAGTCTGGTTAGGAGTGCCCACCCCTGCACCCTCTTCCCTGCCCCCTGCCAGGCACCTGAGCAGGATGAGGAGGGGGAAGCTGAAGGCTTGGGAGTGGAGGTAGTGAAGGGCACGCTGGCTGGTCAGTGGGAGGCGGAGGGCCACCAGCTCCGGGACCACCTTCCAGGGCTCGCGGTAGTTGGCAAAAAGGCCGCAGTCCCTGGATGAGTGGACACTGGGGAGAGGATCCGAGGAAGGGGGTGTCACTGCTGGGGAGAGCTTCGCCCACCAGCATTGACCCTGCCCACACCAAGCACCGCCCACCAGCTTCCTTTCCTTCACCTGCTAATCACGTAGCCCAGGGGCACCACTGCTAGAAGCAGGCCCAAAAGGAGGACCAGCTGGAAGAAGAAGGTGGAACTGGAGGCTCGGAAGAGCCGCATGGATGTCTTGGAGTTCCTCAGGAGGGTGTACTGAGAAGTAAATGACAGCAGGCGATGTGAAGTTACAAAGGGACACAGAGAAACAAGAGGGGACACAGCTCTGCCTGATCCTGGGACCCACCCGGGAACTCACCTTTTTGATATAGAAGGTGAGAAAGATGAAGATGCTGTTGAGCAAAGGCAGCAGGGGACAATAAAAGAGGCCCATCCAGGTTACCGTCTGTGCTGCCACGATGTCCAGCACGTTCTTGGGTACCAGGAACTCCTCCCGGTCTAGCCAGACCCAGAACTTGCCGGAGAATCTCTCCACCAGCAGCCTGGGGGAAGGGAGTATTTACTACCCACCAGGCACGGGTGGATCACATCCAGCTGGGCCCACCCCAAACCTACCCATGGCACATACGTGTGCACTGCCTCACTCTGGCTGTGGCTACCAAGCACCCCAAAACGTGTCCACCTTCTCCAAACCCCCAGGGGGATTCCCATGGTTTACCTGCGAGGCAGGGTGACCAGGAAGGCGAAGGCCACCGTAAGGAGAAAATTAAAGATGCTCAGCTTGTATAGTTCCTCTCCCACTGAGTTCTCCCAGCACTGGGGTGCAAAAGGTGGGAAAGGAGGGGACAGTCACCATCCATGGTCCCCCGCCTTCTCTCCCCTCCCCTGCCCACTGGCATGCTTTGGGGTGTTAGATGTAATTTTTAAGTTAAACAGAGCTTTGAGGATGGGATGGGTGCTGGGAAACTGAGTGCTGACTTGGGGCTGCCTAGTGTGGTTTGGACAACGTCTCTGGGAGGTGTGTCATTGCGTGGGGCAGCTCTGTTTACAGTCCTCCTAGGTGGTACTCGGGGGCAGGGACAGGGCTCTGGAGGGTTTGAGGTGGGGCTTTACGTAGAAGTACAGAGGGGACGGGTCCCAACGGAGCTGCCACCCACCTGGTAGTCACAGGCGTTGTAACCGTAGGACTCACAGCTGGTGGTGTTCGTGCCTATACACAGCACAGTCTGGCCCAGCGAGAATGAGAACATTCCCAGGCTGGCTAGCTTCAGCACCACACACCTGGAGAGGGGCCGGTGTCAGGAGCACCAATAGATACTGGGCAAGACCAGTCCCTTTCCAACCTCACTCCCACCCTGGTAGTGTTCCCCAAAGTGTATTCCCCAGAACCTTGGTCTCCAGGTGATTCATGGGAAATAGATTCTGTTTCTAAATCAGTTTGGGAAACACTGGACAGTCTGACCACCCTCTCCTACATCCGCCCCAGAGACAGACGGGCAGACAAGAGAAACTTGCAGGAGACAAAGACATAGTACAGCCTTGAAAGCCTCATGGGAACATTTCTTTTCTGGCACAAGGGGTCACCATTAGTTGGCATCGACTTGATGGCAGATGGCAAATCACAAAACAAGTAGGTAGCAGGAGGACACAAAGGTTGAAGGTGTCAAACCCACCAAGGAAGAAAGTCCTGGAGATTTGCTTCTGCACAGTTACAGCCTCAAAACCCTAGGGAGCAGTTCCACTCTAAATACATGGGCTCAGCACCAGTCCGAATCAATTTCACAAGTAACTCACAACAAATACAATACAGAAATGGACTAACCTTTAAGAATCCCTACCTTCCTTTCCTCAACCAGCTATTAACATCTGGCCCACTCACAGTCTCCTGCATGTGCCCTGCCCACTTGGTAAACACACAGCAGGGTCACACAGGTATGATGGCCAAAACCGAAACCATAGCATGTGGGTTGAATGGCTGGGAAAAGTGGTTTCACTGAGGGAGACTGGGATGCAGGGCAGGAGCGGACTTATTTATCTGTAATCTCACATCCTTTTGAGCACTTTGAATGTTTTACAATGTGCATACATGACTACTTATTCAAAACCGAAAGTTTAAAACCCAGTAAAATACAGTTAGGCTTGGAGGGAAGCCAATCATGTCAGGAAGTGGAGTCTGAATAGGCAGTTGAGTTGGATTCAGGAGTGTAAGAGGGTGCTGGGGGCAGAGATGAGACAGAGCAGAGGCTGGGGTGAAGGAGAACTTGCGTCTGACTCTGCATGCTGCAGGCATTGTGAACCAGATCCACAAAGCTCACGATCCAGGTCAGGGGCTGCTCTGGCCTTGTGTGTACCATTTTGCAAAAACGCTGGTCTGTACTTCTGAATGGCCAGTGCTTGGTCTACACTGGTGACACTCTTTGGGCGTACTAGTTACCAGTAGCCATTGAGGTGACTGACTCAAGGAGTCCCATGTTTGCCCCGTGGGCTTTTTCAAGGCTGTGACCAACAGATCACCAAGTCTTTCTTCCACCCAGGGATACCTCCTTGGAGGTGGTTGTTTTGTTGTGAAGTGCCGTCGAGTTGGTTCCAACTCATAGTGACCTTGTATAGAGTTTCTGAGGAATGGCAGGTGAGTTTGAACCGCCGACCTTGTGGTTCAAACCAACCTGTGGTCCACTGCTTATCGTACAGCACCCTGCCAGGACACCTCCTTGGAGGTAGGGGCTGAAAAACTTGAGACGCAGCGCTCCTTCCCCGAGGGTGTGTGTTCTGGCCTGGTGCTGAAGGAGCGGCATCTCCCAGCTCAGAGACTCCTGACACCAGGCAGTTAAACCAGGGCTGCGGACACACATGGCCCCTCCATCCCCGTACTGCCCACTTTTCAGTCCCCAAGCGTGGCACTCACCAGATGAGAGTAAGGTTGACCTCGGTGTTGGGAGGGTAGTTCTCCAGTTGGACCAGGAATACAAACAGCAGGGGACCCAGGAAGTTGACCATGGCAATGACCCCAGGGGGCAGGTACTGAAGTAGCAGAAACACCGAAGCCTGCAGGAGAATGAGGTGAGGTGATCAAGTGTGAGTGTGCAGTGGTGTGGGCCAGTCAGTGATTGTGAGTATGAGACATAGGTGAGTGTGAGTGTGGATGAGTATGTGACTGCACATGTGAGCATGTGAATGAGCGAGCGATTGTGTGACTGTGGATGCGTGTAAGTGTGAGTGAGGGAGCGATTGTGTGATTGTATGTGTGTAAGTGTGTGTGAGCGAGCGATTGTGTGACTGTGTATGTGTGTGTGAATGAGCGATTGTGTGACTGTGTGTGTGTAAGTGAGCGAGCGATTATGTGACTGTATGTGTGTAAGTGTGAATGAGCGAATGATTATGTGACTGTGGATGCGTGTAAGTGTGTGTGAGCGAGTGATTGTGTGACTGTATATGCGTATAAATGTGAATAAGTGATCATGTGCTTGTATATGTGTGTAAGTGATTGTGTGACTATATATGCATGTAAGTCAGAATGACTTTTTAAGTGTGAGCATGAGTGTGAATGAGTACTTGTGACATGTAATGAGGTACATGTGTGAGTGAGCGTGTGCTGAGTGTGAATGTAATGAGGTCCGTGTGTGAAGGAGCGTGTGCTGAGTGAGTGTGAATGTAATGAGGTACATGTGTGAAGGAGCGTGTGCTGAGTGTGAATGTAATGAGGTCCGTGTGTGAAGGAGTGTGTGCTGAGTGAGTGTGAATGTAATGAGGTCTGTGTGTGAAGGAGCGTGTGCTGAGTGAGTGTGGATGTGATGAGGTCCGTGTGTGAAGGAGCGTGTGCTGAGTG